TGTTTTATATAATAATGGAGTGTTTTCTGAAAAGACAATGGATAAAGTACAAAGCAATTCTATGTTTACCTTTCTAAATTCTTGGCTGAGACCCTTGTAATAAAAAGTAGATTAACAAAAGAATAAACCCAGACATTTATTTACATGTATCCCCATAAATACATGGGAGATACCCATGGAAAAATGAATAACTTTCGGAGGTGACTCTAGCTTAGATACCATCTTCAGCTAAAAAGAAGAGGGAGAAAGGTGAGGAAAGACTAGCTGTGGGGACATACTAGGAAAAGCAGTGTAAGCAAGTACAAGATTTCGGGGCGCAGAGACGGGCTTCAGCAGTGCCAGGTGGGGCGGGGTCTGCGCCTGTGGGGAGGGCAGGGCCAGGCCACGGGGTCCTGGGGGGTCTGCAGGATTATTTTGTGTTGAGTCCATTTTTAATGTTCTGATCATCTGACAGGGCACCCAAGACCCCAACTCCCAATAAAAGTTGTGTTATTCTTATAAAACAAAACAAACAAACAAAAAAACAAATGCAAGATTTGTTATGTGGTTTTATTTATTTATTTATTTTTGTTATTGTTATGTGGTTTCTTTTTTTGTTTTTTTTTTGTTTTTTTTTTAATAATTATTTATGATAGTCACAGAGAGAAAGAGAGAGAGAGGCAGAGACACAGGCAGAGGGAGAAGCAGGCCCCATGCACCGGGAGCCCGACGTGGGATTCGATCTCGGGTCTCCAGGATCGCGCCCTGGGCCAAAGGCAGGCGCCAAACCGCTGCGCCACCCAGGGATCCCTGTTATGTGGTTTTAAATCTGCATCTTCTCCATTGATTAGGGGCCAACGCTGTCTCAGAGGAATAATCTTTGTTCTTCCTGGTATAGAAAGAGGAGAAGGACTTTTGTAAATTTATGCTGTGCTTTTAGGCAAATACAGGGAGAACAGAAAGCTTTTCTTTGATCTGCTTCTTCTCAATTGCCCTTAATTAAAAATAATCCTTATGCCAAAGTGGCATATTTTGGAATGGCATCTTCTACTGCCCTTCAGTGGGAATTTCCCTAGGCAGCTCTTTCTCTAAGAAAGAGACACTGCCAAGAAATGTGAAGGATTTGATATTTTATTCCACTTGTAGGCTAACAAGTAGCCTGCCACAGTCTCATAGAAGTTGACAGATGCATGAGATTCCTCTGTCAGAGACAAAGGATCTTATTACTCATCACGCCACAGGCAGCATGAGCTTCCAGCTCTCAGATTTTTGCTCCCAAGTCCCCCAGTGTGACCTGGAGCTGCACAAGCACCCATGGTTCGTTCGTATCAGAATGGAGGAAGTCCAAGTTTAGGAATGTCATGCTAGCAAACCAACCCAAATTTTGCCCTGGGGGGACAGATTATGTTTCTTATCCTGCAACAACTTTCTCTGCCCTTGAGAAAAATACGATCCCTATCTTTGAAACTATATGTGTGGACATGCAAGAGCCCCATGAAGACTTGACCCCCAACACACACAAATGCAATACAAGCGTAAGTCTATTATGATGAAAAAAATGTGCAAAAGTTCTGACCAGAGATTTAAACTCACATTGTAAGTGTAAAACACTCAATCCTTTCTGAGCATTTCTTTGAATATGTAGTTAATCAGTGAGAATAAAACCTTGGAACAATTTGTTTTGCTTTGTGGTGCATTATCACTTGATGCTCTAACAGTCATGTTTTTCCTCTTATCAAGTAGGTTTTATCCTCTCCCTCTATGTATTTATTCCAATAATCTAACCTCATTGCTTAAATTATTTCTTATCATGTTAGAGGAACTAACACAGACTTTCTCAAGAGTGGCTTGTGCATTAGCAATCTTCCTTTCTCTCTGCCTCTTCCTGATAAAATCAAGTTTCACAAGGTTCTTTCTCTGTAGTGTAACTTGCCATTATTACTCAGCTTTGCAGGGTTGAGTTTCTCTGCTGATAGCTAATGCTTTTCTCCCCCCACATCTTTATTCTTAAGAAACATTTTAGCAGTCGTCGTACTCCTGGGAGATACCACCTGGCGTTGTTCTGAAGCTGATGCTGCAGCTGCCCTGCTGTTTCATGTGTCTGTGTGTGCGTTTCTCTCCTTTTAAGGCCAGAGCCACAAAATTCAGAGAACAGCAGAACTGTCAATTGCTATTACTTAATAAATTAAAGTGACTGTTAAAACTTTCCACCAAGTGATAAAAACCGAGCTGTGCCCCCTCGGTGGATGGAATCAAGAGGTCCATCCAGAGGGTCATTGGTCCAGGTGTCAGAAAACATACAGGCCACCCTGTATTTTAACATATCAGCAATGAGTTTTTTTTTTCTATTAAGTGTATGTCTCGTGTGTAATTCGGGACATAGGTACATTAAAAAAAAGTCATTGTTTATTTGAAAATGAAATTTAACTGGACATCCTGTACTTTTATTTGCTAAATCTGGCAACTCTCTTCGCCATTTATCTACCAAACAAACTACAAATAGCTTTTTGTATTTTGGTAAAATTCCGCATCCGGTGGGGTTTAGGTCAGAAGGGCTCCCCTTGGGGCCGATAAAGGTCTCAAAGTTTTGATGATGTGACACCGACGCTACGCAGAAAAAATAATTGTGAGTAACGGAAAGTTTTGTAATTCACAGAGGCTGATTTGCAAGTCTAGCTCCAAAGAGCGCAGGAGGAGATGAAAGACGTCCCGGCCTGGCGGGCCTCGGGTTTTCGGGGACCCCCCGGCGACCCCGGGCATCCGCGGAGAAAGGAGAAGCTGGGCCGGGGCGGCCTGCCCGGGGACTGCCAGAGCTCCGGGAGCCCAGGCTTCGCCCCACCCACCGAGCCGGCCAATAGGAGCCGAGCAGAAGGGGGCTGGGCGCGCGCAGCCAATCAGAGATGAGATGGGTGGGACTAGACGGCGGGAAGGAGCGCGATTTGGCCGCTTGGGCTCCGAGGGGCGGGGCCCAGCCAATCGGGACCGAACGGGGCGGGGCTGGAGGCTGGGAAGGGGCGGTCGCCGGGGGGGTCCCGCGCAGGGCCGGCGCGTGTCGAGCCTCACCTGCGCCTGCACCTGCGTCTGCACCTGCGCCTGCACCTGCGCCTGCACCTGCAGCTCCGCCCTTCTCGCGGGAGGGCGGCGGGGGTCGCCGGCTCGGCTCGTCATGGCCTACCCGGGATACGGAGGCGCGGTGAGTCCCGGCTGCCAGCTGCGCGGCCCGCCCTGGGCCGCCGCCTCGCGGGGCGGGCGCGGGGCCTCCTCGGACGGCGCTCCGCGCGGGGTCGGGGCCCGGGGCCGCTGGGCGAGGCCTTGCGGAGCCCGCGGTGGCCGCGACTTCGGGAGTTTCCTTCCTGGACTGGAGGAACAAATGTGCCCTCTGCTAGTTCCAGTGATACTTTGTGGTCGACCCTCACTTCCTCAGCTTCTCTGGACGTCCTCTTTCTGATTTTTCGGCCGCTTCTCGTTTTCTGTCCTCTAATTTGCTTCAGAATAAATTAAGATGCGCATGTAGACATTTAGTCTCCTAATTTTTGCTCTCGCACCAAGGGCAACCTGTCGTAGACCTTATCGGTAGGTAGGCAGGGTTAGGTCAACTCTTTCTTACAGAACTGTTTATCCTGAATCACCTTGGAGAGTTGGAACTTGTAATGTGTGGTTTTATGCTCTTTTTAAAAATTCCTGCAGTTGGCCTTTTTGGGTCCCTTAGGATGGTCTTTTTTTCCTTCTTTTTAAAGAAGAAACTTTTAAGAAATCTCACCTATTTTTGTTTGCTTTTAGTCCATTATATTGCTTTAACATTTACTGCCTACTTTCCGGTACTTCATTGCTTCAAAATCTAGTTGTGCGTTTCCTGGAGTTTGAAGTCCATTTTCTGGAGCTGCAGCACCTCCTGGTAACCTCGCCCTTGCACATCCAGCCACGCAGCTCTTCAAACTCCTGGTAGTATCCCACCTTTTGACTCTCTCTCCCCATCGACCCCCAGTTTAGAATTCTTTTTTTTTCTTTTTGCCTTCTGGCAATCTCTGTTCATCCTTCAAGGATGCAGATCAAGAATTTTGTTCAATACGGAATAACAAACAATCTTGATACTTTTTTTCTCCTCCAGACTCATAAAAATGCTCAGTAAAATGCCTTTCTAAGGTATTAAAAACGTATACCCAGTCCCAAAGTGAAAAAAGTAGAGAGAAGCATAAACCACAGGAGGAAACAAACATCAGACTATCTACAGTTGAACCGTGGTCTCCTTTTTAGTAGGTGTTTGACCTTAACTGATTTAGGAAACCTCTTGAAGTTTCAGGTCCTCAGTGACAAAAAGGACATAGTAGTTTCATACCTCATACGGTTTTGGGGAAATCTAAGCACATAATGGAAAGTACTTGTACCTGGGCCATAAAACGCCCTCAGTAAGTATTAGCTGTGTATTATTTTTGTTGGTATTATTACTAATTTTGAAGACTGTTGTTGGAATTAATCACTCTATTGATCTGTTTATTGGTGTCTTGCTTTTTAAAAAATACATTTTTTTTTTCTGGTGGAGAAGATGTTTGCACTCTCTGGGGTTTCCCATGACTAGTTCACAATTTCATTGTGTTTACCATGTATTATTCTAAGTATGTGTCTGGAGTAGTATACTACTTCTTAGTTTGACTGCAGGTGAAATTTTTTTTTTTGCATTTTTTTGGTTTTTGTTTATTTCAGTGATGATGATGGTAAACAGTTAAAAAGTGTGCTTCATGTTCCTCTGTTAGATTAAGTTGTTGGAGGCTAGAGAGTTCTTTTTTTCTGCTTTACTTCTTTTGATGTTGAATGACACATTAATGAACTGAATTATGTCCTAATGCAGGACATGTAGGATTTTGTAGCTAACAGCATTTGGGATAGTGAATTTGGTTTCTTTTAATAATTCTTTCTATTCTTGCTTTTCAGTAGACTCCTCCTAAATGTTTTCTTTTAAACCAACTTTAGTAGTTAACAAGTAATATTTGTACTAATAACTTTATCCTTTTTCACTCTTATAGTTTGGAAATTTTAGTGGTCAGATGCCAGGAATGCAGATGCAAATGGGACAGCCATTGCCAGGAACAGGGCCAAACCTTCTCCCTGGTGGATACCCAGCGTATTCTGACAGTTATTCCTCAGCAGGAGACCCCATGTGGACATACTTCACTGCTGTTGCTGGACAGGTGAGATGTTAAATATATTGCACAAATATCAGTTTCTGAACGTGACTGCTATTTTTTTAAAGATTTTATATATTTATTCATTAAAGACACAGAGAGGCAGACACAGGCAGAGGGAGAGGTCGGCTCCCCATGGGGAGCCTGATGCGGGACTTGATCCCAGGACCTTGGGCCCTGAGCTGAAGGCAGACGCTCAACCGTTGAGCTACCCAGGCGTCCCAGTGATTGCTATTTAAAAGAAATGTCAACTCTATTACTTAGTGTGTTATTTTAAATGTATAAGAAATTTGTATTTTAAACTTATCTAGACTAATTTTTCAATTGAGATCAGAGATGAAGGTAGTCATAATTATTTCATTTTTAGAAGTCTGTTAGTATGATACCTGACCCATTGTTCATTTCACTTAGAGGGCAGACAGTGTAGTGCATGGCCACTGAGCCAAGAGGATTGAGGAAAAGAGATCTACATGTAACTCTCCTTGAGGAAGCTGAGACAGAGTAGCAAAAAGGAGACTTTTAAAATTTTGAATGGTTTTGGGAGAGACTTAAGTGGTAAAACCAATCAGGAAAAGGTAAAGAAAACAGAGCAGAATGGAGGTTCAAACATCAGATTAGTGAGAAGAGACAGATTCACATGTGAGCCTTAGTCACAGTCTGTATCTCTTTTTTTTAGACTCACAAAGGAAAACTAATGGAGTGGTTAGAATTTCACAGAACTCTAATAACACTTGAGTGTTCACTAGGTCTCATATGCCTGGCTAGAAATTGAGAATAGACACGGAATTATTGTATATGGTGGACGCTGTGTTGAGGTGACCTCAATTCCATTCATAACCTCTTTTCCCCTTCTGTGGTGGAAGTTGGAAAGGTCCTAATGCCATCCTGGATGCCTCTGAATCTAGTAAAGTTAGCCATGTGCCATAGGACTATTTACTAATAGGCCATTGAGATGTAGGCACAATTTCTTTAGGATACTTTCCTTTTCTAAATGAGAAAAGCTTTCCTGGGGAGCCAGTATTGGCCCTTTTTGCTCCTTAATTCTTCCTGCCTAGGAAGGGAACTTGAGGTAGGGAAGTGCAGCGGCAACAGGATATATGGAAAAATGTAAAGAGATTGATGGCATTATAAGGTTGCCATACAGTCCTGTTCTGTCTACCCTCAGACTTCTTGTACCCTACACCTTCATGGTTTAAACCTCTTTCATAATATTTTCTGTTGTTTGCAGCTAAATGCAATGCTAACTATTACATGATACCATTCTTATCGGCAAAGAACACTTAAGTAGTGTAATGCTGGGAATAAGTCTGTTATCTATAAATGACTATATTATAAATCTATTTTATAAAATTACAACTTAATATATAGGAACTGGGCATATTTATTTAGGGATTTTATTTGACTTCTGAACTCTTTCAGTGTTATAGTTATGAATAATGATTTGCTATGTTTGTACTACTTGATACTTGTCTTAAATTTTTCATAGTTTTGTGCTTTTGAACATTTATTTATTTTAGGGGGAGAGCGAGAATCTCAAGCAGAGTCCACACTAAACACAGAGCTCAACGTAGGGCTTGATCTCATGACCCAGGGATCATGACCTGAGCAGAAACCAAGAGTGTTATGCTTAACTGACTGCCCCACCCAGGTGCCTCTAGTTTTGTGCTTTTTAATAGTAAAACTCCATGAGGATATGGCCCTTGTTTTCTCCTATACCAAGTAAGCCCTAGGAATATATTAATCATTCAATAAATATATTGGATGGATGCATGAACTGTCTCATCTTCAATGTTTAATCTAAATATTAAGCAGTTCTTTTATATGTTGAATTTTGCCTCAGTTTAAAGAATCAGATGAGTTTACTGAACTCACTTCTGGATCTGTATTTTTTTTGACAGGTCTCATAATTAATGATGTTCTATGAGAAATGTCCAATTAAAGGTTCTACATCCTTTCTATTGGATGACAGTTTTTGAACAGCAATGATTCAGTCATCAGTTGAGTAGGGGAAATTCTGGTTTGTCCCTTCACAAATACACATACACACACGCACACACACGTACACATGTCAGTAACACCAACAGCTTTAACTTTGGTGTGCATGCTGCTTCTACTTTTTACATAGTTGCTCTGTGAGGTCGGCAGGATGCAGGTACCCTTTTATTATAAATGAATAAATGGAAATTAATATTTAGTAACTGAACAAATAGGACTTGAACTTGGGTATCATTTCAAAATCTTGCTGTCTATTAACCTAACCAATGGCAACTAATTTTTTATTAATTATCTAACTAAAGCTCTTATTCAATTAGAAAATGCAGTTTTCACCACTAATGTGATTGTTAGGGTTTATAGAGTTGGTCATTATCATTAGCTTAAGTTGCAGTAAGATGATACAAAAAGATCCCTTGGATTTTCTCCATATAATTTAGGAAGACATTACTTGTTAGTCAATTAAGGTAAGATGTTTTCATAAAATGTATGAAATATGAGTATGAAGTAGTATACTAGACAAATGCTTTCTGATGGTAATAACTTGTAGAAAAGCTGTTCAAGTTGTTTATGGACCCCCAAAATTCTGGAAAAGCACATGTAAAATAGAATTTCATTTATTGATTAGATTTTATACTTTTAAATTTAATTGACACTTGAATGGGAAGTTGTAATATTTTCAACCTTTTGAAATAATAAATGGACATGGCCACAACAATAGTCAGAAATGACTATAGTTGAATCAAGAACCAATCGTAATTGTCTTCATTCCACCAGGCAACCAGCCTGCTTTGTACTACATACTGTGCTGGACTTGGGGATGCAAAGATGAGTGATACTCAGATCCTGCCTTAGAATCTCTCCACCTAGTCAGGGAGGTAGACATTCAGGGAATGATGATGGTACAGGGAAAGAAATGCTAAAGGTAAACAGGCAAAAATTATTGCACTCAACATTCTCTGATCCTTTTTTAAAGATTTACTTATTTATTTGACAGAGAGAGAGAACGAGCATGCAAGAGCACACACACACAAACACAGCAGGGGGAGCAGCAAGCAGAGGGAAAGGAAAAAGGAGAAGCAGGCTCACCTAGGAGCACAGAGCCCAACACAGGGCCTCTGATGGGCCCCCAGGCTCAACCCCAGGACCCTGGGATCATGACCTAAGCCTAAGGCAGACACTTAATCTACTGAGACACCCAGGTGCCCCAGCATTCTCTGATCTTTATGCTTGTTCTCTCTGTCTAGAACAGCACTGTCTAAAATGAACATCATAAGAACTACAAACATAAGCCACATATGAACATTTAAAAAAGTTTTAAAAAAGGTGAAATTAATTTTCATAGTATATTTTTTAACCTAGTGTATATCAGAAATACTAATATACCAATATGTAATCAATATAAAAGTTATTAATAAGGTATTTCATTTTTTTTGTTGTTACTGAGTCTTTGAAATCCAGCTTGTATTACACTTACAGAACATCTCAGATCAGACTAGCCATGTGAAAGTGTGCTGTGGAATATATGGCTGATGTCCACTGTATTGGACAACTCAGGCCAAGAACACTCCTCCAACAGATATCTGCATAGCTTGCTCCTTTACTTTCTTTAGATCTTCCTTGAAACTCACTGTATTAATGAATAAGTCAATTCACCCTATAAGTAAATTCATTTCTCATTGATTCAGTTATAGGGGAATTTACTTTTTCAGCCTCAGTGAGGCTTTCTCTAACTGTGTAAAGTAGCATTGGTCTACTCCATTGCTCCCGTGCACACACTCTGTATCACTTTCACTCTGTTATCTTTTTTCCCCTTAGTACTTATTACCACCAAATGTAATTTTTGATTTATTGTCTCTCTTCCACCACTAAACGGTAAGCTCTGTGAAAGCAAGGAATTAGCAGTGCTTGAATATAGTGGAGTACTCAATAAATATTTGTTAAGTGAATGATTTTTTTAAATGGAAGATATTTGTTCATTTATATCTCTGCATTTTCTTAACATACTTGTTTCTATGATTATTTTGTAAGATTAATTTCGTCTTGTATGAATTTGTTCTGCAATTGTTGCTTTTTGTTGTCTTTCTGAATATTAGATTTATTCAGATATTTTGGGATTTTGGTTTCTAAATCTATCTCACATGGAGTTTTTGTTTATTTCTTCCCTCCCTCTTTTTGTCCTTTTTTATGTGATCCCTCTATCCTCATGCCAGTCTTCATTATCTAGTGGTTTTGTGATTGTCTCCACATAGATTGTATCCAGAATCAGATTTTATGACAGTTCAAGGCTCCTTCCTGGCAGTGGCATTGCGGATCTCATCAACAAACTGGGGATAGCTTAGCTGAGCATTTTAGTCCTACTTACCTAAGCCTTCAGCTTCTCAGAAGTGGTGTCAACAGGCAATAGTCTGTAGTATATTTTGATTTGTTTTGCCTCTTAACATGAGTAGAGCATCCTAGGATCCCATCTCATTCCTTGCATTCAAACAGTGAGGCACTCACATTCCCCAGGCCTTATGAAGTCCTCAGAAGCAAACCTCCTGCCCCTACTGCATATCTGTTCTCACTCTACTTCCTAGTTTTTGCTTCTGTGTGATGTACCCAAACCCAATTTAGGTTTGGAATTTCATATATATAAATTAGCTTCATACAGTTTTAAAAATAGAAACTATTCAAATAAAGCAATGAGCCTCACATTTAGAGAAATAAATCTTTTTTTCCCTCCCAGTTATTTTCTTTCTGAGTTTCCATAGAAGGTCCCCTAACTTGCTGTCATATTGCTAAGCAGATGAATGTCCAGCTAGGGTAAGGCAGGTGAGAGACTTACCTTTAAATTGAATGGGTTTTAAAAAATTTAGTAATCATGATATATAATGGTTTAATCCAATACTAAAAAAAAAAAAAACAAAGTTAACACAAAAATCTATGATGAATAAATATCCAATTCTTTTTGAGATTTTATTTATTTATTCATGAGAGACACAGAGAGAGAGGCAGAGACATAGAGGGAAAAG